ACAGGAACTACTCAAGCAAATCATACGGCGACGCCTGGCGACAGTGACGGCAGCACCGCGGTCTCCCACACCACCTCCCCTCTTTTGCTTCTTCTTGTTGTTGCGTGTGCGGCTGCGGCTGCGGCTGCGGTGGTGGCCGCGTGAGAGTGAGTGTGAGAGAGCCGTGCACCGCCCGCACACACACTCTTCCTTCTTCCATACCGAGTTGCACATCAAATATTATTACTAATTTTGAAACCATGCACTACTTCTACAGAGGATTAGACGGTAATTCTGCAGCTTTGCATTTCCACATGGCTACGGGATGTGCTTCCGCTTTTATTACCGATTTGGCAAAGGAAAAAAAAAAAAAAGGGGCAAACATGTCTGTTCTCCCCTTCTGAAAAACAAATAAAAAAATTTTTTTTTTAAAAAAATGGGGTTTTAAATGAAAGATGGAGAAGTGATGTTTACGCAAAAAGGTATATATATGTATATATTATAAACATTCCGCGTCTGTCCAATTTGCACTTGTATGTGCTCGCATGGAGCTTCTTGGGGGGGGGGATAAGATCCAAAAAACAACAAACATGCGAACAAAGCAAAAAAAAAAAAAAAAGAAGAGAGAGAGAAAGAAAGGAAAAGAGATCGCATCTCTATTTGCGAAGCGCACTCAAGTCGAGTGGGCGTATACTAAGTGGAATATGGAGTTGATTTGTGGGAGACGACTCTTGTGATACCACGGCCAATGGGGTGTCGTTTGTAGCATGTGAAAACATTCCCCAACCTTCTGAGATATCGGTGGAAGGAGGCGTGATCGTCGGCCACTGCATACGATTGGAGGTTGATGCAGACTCCGATGTTTCATGTTTCGCTATCCCTGCGTTCCCTGCAGCATTTTCATCATTCACAATCTCCAGCGGCTTATCATCAGTTTTCTTTTCCTCAGCGGCTAAAGGTAACGACCCAATCGTGTTGACTTTGGGTTCGGGGTGATGTTGTTGTGATATTCCTTCCCTTTCCTTCTTTTTCCGGTCCCGTAATGCCCCTAACAAATGATTTTTCTGTGGCTTCAGCAAACGGTGTGCGAGTACAGTTGCGGGGAACTGTAGCGACCGTACGCTCTCCGACGGCTTTCGGGATTCCCCCACTAATGTCGCTTTCGGTGTTGCGTCGTGGGTCTCTCTTCTATGATACGAGGCCTTTGACGCCTGTTGCACACTGTGGGGTGGTGCTCCTGGCGTAGGTTTCATTGAAAACCGCTTTATCAGAAAACCACGTTCCCATGGATTCTTTTTGTGGGCAGGGGAATTTTCCTCCCAAGACGGAGGTGCCATCGGATGATGTTGCCTTTTTTCTTGCATTCTAATGGCATCGTTATATAACCGCTTCCATGGAGAGATGTGGTGTTTTTCATGTAACTTAATATTCCCTTCCAAGGGAGAACGGGAAGCACTTTTTTCTGGAGATATTTGAGGGGATGTTGTCCTTTTACGATGCCCCTCGTGTCCATAAGACTGCGGTGTTCCGGTTGTTTGATTCCCTGTGATAAGTCGTCGCTTCGATTGCGGTGACACCATTTTTATTGGCTCCTCCTGTGAGGTTCTTTTGTGTCGCGGGTAAAGACGTGTCACCGGCTGTGGGATAGTATCAGCTTTTTTTTGCTTCACCCCCGTCAGTGGTCCGTTGAGACGGTACGCCTCCAATTCCTTACGAATACGTACTCGAAGCTCAGCAATAGAGACATCCTCGTAGTCACTACTATCTGCCGCTTCCCATTTTATATTCGTTGCCACACCATAGTTTGTGGAGTATTGTGTTCCCTTAGCAAATGGCATTGTTTCTCGATGCCGCACGTGTACGCCTGTTTTTTTTTGCTTTCCATCTGCTGCGTGTTCCCGTTGAAGCAAAAGTAATTCAGTTGCTGTGCGTTGGAAGGTGGTATTCGGGAACATTTTCCGTGTAACGTGAGCAGTTGGGGATCTTTGTGATACGCTTCGTCGAATTCTTTTCATGGAGGGGAGGGAATTTAATTTTTCCCCTTCATTTATACTGGCGTCTCCTTTACGATGCATGGTACCATGTGGTGGTCCCACTTCCCTACTACCTTCATCATATAATAAATTCTGACCACGATGCAGCAGTTTCTCAATGCGTTCAATAGAGTGTTGAATGTCTCCAAGTTCACGTTGTGGCATACTTCCCTCCGACAACTTACCGGAGACCATGTCATCATATATCATTGTGTTTGCGTGTGGACTACTAGCCGTTTGTGTGTGTGTGTGTGTGTGTGTGTGTGTGGGAAAAACCAAAGGGAAATGCCGTTTGCAAAAAAAAAAAAAAAAAAAAAAATTGCAACGGATGCCGATGTCGTTGCAGTTGATGTGACAAATGAGTGGGATGACGGGAGGGATGGAGATCTTATGTATAAAAAAGGGAGAAGAAAAAGAAAAAAGGAAACTGAGAGGTAAGGGCGTCTTAGGTGTTTATTTCTTCTATTGCCATATGTATTATACATTCCACACTTTCCCACCCTTTCATGTATAAGAGAGAGAGAGAGAGAGAGAGAGAATTTTTTATTTTATTTTTGCATGTGGTAAGGCTCTATTCGGGGCGCCTATATATATATATATATATATATGTGTATATGACTCCCTTTTTCTCCCCTTCATGCATACACTCTATAGAGAGAAAATAATAGAATAGCGGGTAAAGTACCATAAGAATGACTTTTCCATTGGACCCATTTAAGTGTGAATTGCTTGTTTGACAATTTGCTCCCGCATCAGGGAAGATACGCCATCGACATATAACGGTGGCTCAAGCACTCCGCCTGCTGGCGTACTTCCATAAGGGATTCATTACCGGTTGAACGCCAGTTACACAGAACAAAATACAACGTAGGGTCCGTCAAGAATGCCACTCGCCGCAGTGTATGACTGCCAAACTGCAAACAGTACCGACGAAACACGGGAGAGGCAAAAGGCATACTGCTGAAATCTCGGCTAGACGATAATTTCTCTACATTTCTCCTTTCCTTATCGAATTTACCATCGCCAATGTCACTTCCTAGCGGCAACTGAGACTTCCTCAGTTTACGCCATTCATTTTGGCGATCCAGCTGTTCTTTTCGTGCCAAAACACAACGCATGGTGCCCCGCTGCGTCAGGCTCGCAGGCATGTTTACACGCCAGCTACAAAAAGCATCCACCGTTACAACGCGGAATCTATGATTTGTCACCACCGAGTTGTACCGTCGCATCACGGCATCAAACGGTGTAATAATTTTCTCACCGAATTTCTCAGGGAGGTGCGCCGAGGCGTTGCCGCGGGAATATCGAACCCACGCACGCATTGTGGGTCGGTCGCCGGTATCCGTTAAGGTGGCTGACATCTTGCTTCGTGCCGTCAGCGCCTCCCACTCTCGGTCTGTGGCCTCCAGCAGATTCCGTGTATCCACAACCCATGGATCCGCCATGTGCGCCAAGTTTGTCGTGACAGCAGTTTTGCCGTACCCTGTAAAAGCATCTACGGCGGGCAGATGCGATGGCCGAGTCCGGGAGTTGTTTAATGGCCCTTCTTGAATTTCCTCCTGCGTCGGATGCGAGCCAACTTCTGCCGTACCGTCACTACCCACAGCGGCCCGCCCATGTAAGTCTGATGCGTGTCGACGCCGGTGCCTCTCTAACAACTGAAATGCAAGCGCACTTGCCGTCCTCTCTGCATTACTCAGAGGAAAGGTGGCCAACATCTCCTCTCTTTCCCATGCACACTGCTGCTTCTGCTGCTGCATGACCGGCACGTTGCCATGCGTGCGCCGTCGCAGCCGACCACAAATGACACGAGAAAACCTCATTCCTTTCTTTAGGCTTGACGCGCCTCGCAACAACAGCGAGGCATTCAAATAAGTAACAAAGTGCGGAAGGCGGACGGGGTTAAAGAGAAGTGAGGCACCACACACACAGAAGAGGATACAACAACAACAACAACAACAACAAAAACACTCTGACGAATACTCGTCAAGAAATAGAAGCCAATATTTCACCCTCACGCTGGAAGAATGCGGCAAATCAAGTAAATATCGACCAGCGACAAACACAATCTTAAATCCACACACAAACACACTCGTACATACACACACACGGGTATGCATATTTAAAAATTTCGTCCTCAACGCCTAGAATTCCTGTGTCCAACAAAAAAAATTACACCACCATGACGAATTTCTGCGTCTACCTTCTTGACATTTATGCACGTCTGTGAGTGTGCCATTGATGATTCTTTGGTTTCTTTGGGCAATCCCGCACCTCATGGCTCTCATCTCCACAAAAAAAACAACATTTTCGTGCTGACCGCCCATCGCTCTGGAAGTAAAGTTGTTCTCCCGGCTCCTGTACTGCCATGAGCATCCGTCGGAGGAGGCCACTCTGCACACCTGGACAGTTGGGTGACAAGTGGCCAGGATCAAAGCAGCGATAACATGTTGCATTTTTGTTAAATGTTGGGTCATCCACACGTTCAATAAGCATGCGTTGTCGAAGACGCTCAGACACGCTATTACGGTTATATAACTCTTGGACAGGATGCCCCATAGTACACTTGGGTCCGAGCGGACAAAACCCTGCCATGTAGAATGGACAGGATGGACGAAAAACATGCCGGAGATGACATTTTGGTCCAAGTGGACAGAATCCACGGCGGTAGGCGGCACATTCCGGTTGTTTCTCCACCTGTATGACATGCTGAAAAGGACACTCCGGGTTCGTGCATTCTCCTAGGCGTTGATAGAAGGCACACAACGGCACATACCGGTCGTCATATTCATGCAGGTACAGACAATTTTCACCATTGACGCAGGCACCACGAAGCCAATGTTTACACACCTCCAGACGCATCGTCTTGAACTGTGAGATGACATGACGCTCCGGGCAGGCCGTACCATGCCGACACTTCCCGTGTTGAAAGGGTTGACAGATCTCACGCCGCTTGACGGTGGCATGCGGTTCATCGGGGAGGGCATCTTCAAATGCGAGTGAAGTGTGCGCGGCGGAATCGGTGAACATGGCGACGCGCTACACACACACACACACACAAGAAAAAGATAGAAAAAAAAGACAAGCGCCAATAGACACCACACGGCTCGTCACCCTGAAAGAGAAATGGAATGAAGTCGTGAAACCAAAAAAAAAAAAAAAAAAAAGAAAAAAAAATAATGGGAGAATTGTGTGCGTGAGTAAAGAGAAAATTAATAGTAATCATAATCATCATCATCATGGCAAGACATCTCCTCCCCCCCCCCCCGTTGAAGGGACTTTTTTTTTGTTCTTTTTTTCTTTACTACTAAACTTCCGAGCTACATAACGGCCTTTCAAACGCCACCGGTGCACTGCGGAAAAAGTAGTGGTCCAAAAACGCTTCCAACGCCAATATGTTCTTATCATCTTCATCTTTATCCTCAGCAGCGGCAGCGGCACTATCAGTGGGGTGACTATCCTTCAAGAGCTCAAGACTCCCGCATGTGTCCCCGCTCCTGCACAGTGTGCGCAACGCCCCGCACACTTCACGAGGCAAGTACCTTGTGGGAAGTCGTTCCACGCCCTCTCCCTCACGCTTGCCCGTCGTCTCATCGTCGCCCCCATTCATGCCCCCGGACTGGCGGTCAAATACGCCGCGGTACGTAAGAAGGCCACGCTGTCCCTCCATCGGACGATCCCTCATTTCCAGGTAGCGGATAATATACTGGCCAAGGTACTGGTGCATCCGCCGCACCACGTCCAGAGCGGAGGACACAGAGGCATCCGCACTGCTCTCACCCACACGCAACAGCTCCAGGAGCACATGCTCCAACAATCGCCATGTGGGCAAACAACGTGAGGACAAGGAGAGACGCATGCAACAGATATCTTTAAGTACAAAAAGCAGCGTGTCTGCTGCTGCCCTCAATGACATGTCATAAGACATCTCTCGATGCATCATTGCCGTAACTGCAAGCTTCACCCAGTACGAGATGCAGTAATGGTACATCACATTGTCCATTTTTCCAAGCGCCGTGCGAGCCGCTTTGGATGGTAATGGCAAGAGGTCACTCGCAACCCACCGCGATGCATCGTCCTCCGTGTTGTGGAGTGAAAGAAGTGTCAAGGCTGCCTCTTTCCACTCCCGTCGTGCCCAAGAAGAAGAAAAGTCCCCCTGCCTACGTCCCGTCTCCAGCAGGTTATACGCCTCTTCCACATGACCCTCGAGAAAAGCCAGGCGACGCGCCAACGACAGGGAATTTGCATCACTTTCCCTGTGACGAGGCCGCCGCCAGTCGTCTTCTACACACGGCACAAAAGACAGCTTTGCTTCCATGGGCTCCATCCAATAATAATAAAAAAGACAACAAAACCCCCCAAAAACACACACACACACAAAAAAAAAAAAAAAAAAGAGAAGAAAACAACAACAACAACAACAACAATAATAATAATAATAATAATAATAAGAAGCCCACACACCGTCGCAATTTAATGTTCTCTTTCTCTCTCTCTATGAAACTTACAAACAAAAAACAAAACACAAATCTCTCGAATATTGTGCAGAATGCATGAAACGACGGTGAGTTGAATTCACGTGTTGCATTGGGCAGAGCTCAATTGTGCCACAGCCAAAACAACAACAACAACAACAATCCATTATCCACCATTTCTTTATTATATTCACGTATCCAATTCTCTCTTGCTCTCTCTCTCTCTCTCTCTCTCTCACTCTCTCTCTCTCTCACTCTCACTTTCTCACATTCCTCCACCCCTTTCTTCTTCTTCCTTTCATATTTGCCGTTCCCTTTCGTTTCCGT